CTCAATTCAATTTCAATTCAATGCAGTTTTATTTATATAGCGCCAAGTTCACAACACATGTCATCTCAAGGCACTTTACAGTTCAACCAGATCATACAGTCAAATTGATACAAAGTTTTCTATCTAAGGAAAACCAGTTGATTGCATTGACTCATTGACTCAAATACACATCCCTCAGTCATTTTTATTTGTCTAAATCACAGAATTTCATTTATTCACCATTATTGAAATTGGTAATTTTCAGCAAGTAATTTCATTAGAAATTATTTTATTGTTGGGGAATATGCTGTTTTGGAAGATATGATATTTTCTGAGCAGAACATTACTCAAATGTATGTATGTATGTATCATAGTACTTTAATAAACCTAAACAACATAATGCAAAGTATGTATTTTAAATTTAGCAGATAATTGTTTTCCAATTCTTTATTGGAAGAAGCTTTGAATAAAAAAACTGGGATATTAGCTTTTAGATTTTTTTGGAATTTGATTTGCAAATAATTGTGTTGCTATTTGTTTTTTTTGTGTTTTTCATAAGGTTTACGCTTCTTGCAGTGGATAATCGGGGCAGTCACACTGAGTCAAGCTTTGTCTCTGTACGCACATCGTGCCCAGTTGTGGATGACAGTCGAGCTGAAGGTACCTCTGCTTTCATATTTGTTTTAGTGTTCATAATCAACTTTCGGAAGATAACTAACTTGTGACATAAAAAAAATGCATAGTTACAAACAAAACAAACATAGGTATGCAAAAACATAAATTCAAAAAGATCCGAAAATAGACTTAAGTCTGAATAAACGCCTGCTTATGGAGTGCTTTTTAAATTAATCAACAGTGTACACTGTTAAAAATTGGGCAGCGCTTTGCAAAGTTGAGATGTAACTACTTCAAACAACAGATTCCCTTATAAATTAGAAATTCGGCAGCATACCAGCAACATCTGAGCTGAAGATCTCAACTAATGGGTTTATATTTGAAGCTGGATTAAGTCACAAAGGTAAGGATCCTTTAAGTTTGTGATTTATCTTTGAGACTTATCTTTGTCCAAAGCTCTAAAACTTAAAATTAGATATTTTTAAAGGAATTCCAAAATTGCAAGGAAGCTAAAGCTGGTGTGATGTGTGATTGTTTACTTATGTTGATTAACAACCTTCTAGCCCTAATTATTAACAGTCTGTGGATAATCAAGCTTCTTCTTGTTTAAGAATATTAAAGAGGCAGTAGTCCAATTGACAATAACTAAGAAACCTGAATAGACATCTCAAGTTTGTTTTTGACAAGAAACTGCTCAGTTTTCAATATATATGTGTCCTTAATAACCGCCTTTACTCAGTTCTTATGCTCTTCACCTCACACAGAAAACCTCTTTGATTCAGGCTAGCTTGCTGCTGTTGCTTGCTCTGTTATATTTGAGGCTACTTCAAATTAGTTTGACATATTTTTTGGAGTTAGGCACTGCTGTTCAAGTATACCTTTCTTACTTTGTGGTCCCGGATAAGTATGACGCTAACAGAAATAAAGCCAAAGTCTTCCATTCACCCCTGTCCTCATGGTTGTTGCTTCTCAATTCGTGACAAGGACCAGCACAAAGCCTGTCCCTTGTGTCTGTGGATCACTCTCGCTTGCAAAGCTTTGGGGGAGCCCGAAGAATGTAAGTTCTGCCGCCAGGTTCGTTGCTCTACCCTGGAGAGACGGGATACGTTTTTGGAAAAAGGTCTGGGAGAGGCTGCTCTCTCACGGTTCATTATTGCTCTCTTGGTTGGAAATCCCGGTTTTGTCCATTATTAACAAAGACAACCCTTTGTTCGATGTCCTTGTTCCTAGCTGGCCAGACCAGAGTATAGTTATAGGTTAGCTGACAATGAAGATGCTCAGTCACTGTTTCATCTGGACCTGGATCAGGGTGGCAGCAACTTGTTGGACATTGTCATAGACATTCAAGATGAGTCTGAGGACAAGTCTTCGCTGGATCAGGCTGCTGCCGCTACTGCGAAACCTCACACTCTGTCAGGGACAGAGCGGTTTACCTTGACAAACCATTGGCAGTTTAGGGGCTGTTTGGGCAGTCTCTCAACGACATACAAGAGAAATTCCAGCAGAGGAAGAAGCAGACTGAGGTGCTGTGCTGACTTATTCTGCTACCCCTGCCACACAGGCTGGAGCAAGGGCCCTCCATTGAGGCGTTGTTTTTCTCCACACAGTCACCAAAGCACAATTCCCCCACTTAAATGTTTAGACTAAAAAAACTCACTTGAGGTGTGTTAACAACTGTTCAGAGAGCAACAGCTGTTCCAAATGTTTGTTCAAATGTTTCTGTCATTTCAAGAAAGACTGCTGTTTCTATATAAAGAAAGGCCTTAAGTTAAGCCTCTTACAAACAAGACAATAATTAAAAGCTAGTAGCCTGTTAACCAAATCATCTACATATTTTTTTCATTACTGGTTAACTTTGATTAGAATAATACATTATTAATTATAATTTCCAGATATAACTATTAATAATACTAATAATCAAATCAGTTTAATTGCATATCACTGGCATGGGAAGGTTTTTGGTGTGTCACAGAGGAGAAGACCCTGTTATGACTCTTCTCTTCATCAGTGCAGTGATAACTAGGTCTTTTTTCATTTTTTGTCAAACAAAGGAACTTCTTGTAGAAATATGTTCTTATTTTAGAGCATCCCTCTTCTCATACAAATTGATTTGCAGATGTTTCATGATGGCAAGGGCAGTTTCCAAAATAGACATCAATTCCAAACCACAAATGCCATTTATGATGCCATCTTCAGTACAGGGAGTAATATTTTGGGACCATTTGTAAACACTTACATCAAACATGTCTAAACATTTTATTTGACATGTGTACCTTTGTTTGTTTTTTTAATTAGCTGATGAACAGCCTGTTTAAGTTGAAATATGGTTTTAATATTTGAATTTCTTACTCCTGGTTAAAAACATTTATAAAATTCCGCATGTTGTCTGACAACAGTGTCTAAACGTCACTTGCGCCGCTTGTTCTCTTACCCCAAAATCCCACATCCTCCGTCAACGCTCTGCCCCGCAGTGCTCCACACCTCCTGGACAAAGCAAAACCTACAACCACTGCTGTTCCTCCAGTATTGCTGCTCTCCAACAGACCAGAGTATAGTGAAAGGTTAGCCGACAATGAAGATGGTCAATCACAGTTTCATCTGGACCTGGATCAGGGAGGCAGCAACTGTTAAAAACTAACATAACTAAATGGGAAGAATAGAATCCATGTCTGAAATGTTTGAATGGAAGCTGTCCACAATTTAATTTACTGAGTTATATGACAAAGTTTGCAACTTTAAATTCCAATAAAGAAATACTTCTATGGGACCTGAAGTTTTATTTTATTTTTAACCAGACACTCATGCTATTAATAAATGAAAACACACTATATGATAAATGGTTATTTACTTTTTCTACTCCATTGAACCTTCTCTTTTCAGAAATAGCTGACAGGGTGTACAACTTGTACAACGGCTACACCAGTGGAAAAGAACAGCAGATGGCCTACAATATGTTGATGGAGATCCCCCCTCCGCTGCTCTATAGAGTCCAGCACCACTACAATTCCCATTATGAGAAGTTTGGGGACTTTGTCTGGCGTAGTGAGGATGAGCTGGGTCCCAGGTGAGAAGACATTGTGATTTCAAAACCTTTTTTTTTATTATGTAAAGCTGCTAAATAAGTAGGTTGGTAAAACTATGTATGCTGTTCAGGTATAAACAAATAGACTTGTGTTTCCCCATCTGCTCTTATTTAAGTTCTCTTTTCATATTTGATAACTATGCTGTTGGTGATCAGTTACCATCACTCTGAGGTATCTTACATGAGAAGTGAAGCTGGCTGAACCTGCTGTCAGATTCACATCGTCCATCCAATTCTCATGCCAGAAATCCCCCCCCGAACCCCCCCGCCCCGCAACACACGCACATAAAAATTGCAGGGTTGCAGTAACTCAACACATCACCATGGCAATGCCAAAACAGGGTTTGATAGCCAAGCCAAACAGTACATGTGATACTGTACTAACACTAACTAGACTTCCAGGTCCATTTCCTCTTCTTCCCAATAAAATTGTTAATTTGCAACCATAATATCTCCCCTCACATCACTTCACATATGAGCTTCTTTTGTTTTTTTTGTGTCTTCTTGACAGGCCCATCCTCATTGGAAGTTTAAACAGATAGTGAGATGTTACAACAACATAAGGACAAATAGAGGCCAAGTGATTCAAATATTTATATATTTTTAAGAATGAGATATAAACATTGATGTTATAGGGAAAAGTGTAAAATAAAAAGCATGCATGCATGCGAGTCTGAGAAGGGAGTTGCTCCAGGACTCATGATAGCAATACAAAATCTTAGGTTACAACCCAGTGTTTTGGTTTGTCCACCCCCACTGGCTGGAAGCACTCTTTTCCAGCTATAAATAATATAATAATTGAGAAATAACTTTGGTCTGTAGGAAGTTTATCCTTCTGTCTGATTGGTGTAGGGGGTGGGAGACACAAGTTGGCCAGCGGGACCTAGAATATGGACTTGTTGAATGGTGTGCATTCTGTATGTGTGTGGGCAGCATCTAGAAAGCGGAATTGGGGAAATGGGGGTTGGGATTGGGGGCTGCTTTTTGGTGAGTGAGTGTGGATTATTTACTGCCTTAAGTTGGCAGGGTTTACCCTCATTGCAGTAATTTACAAGAAGGCTTCTTTGGTGGTGCATTTTAAAAGGTAAACGAATGGCCAAGAAGAACGTAAGCAAGTCAGCACTCCTGCAAGAGCCGAGAATCCCAGGAGTCCCCCACATACAGTATGTCCACGGCTGCTGCAGTCTAAAGCCTGTTTTGTTATTTGCACATGCTGATGGTTACTGTTTTTCCTTTTTTCATATAACACCTTTCATACTTCTAAACATCATTAATTGTATTTTCTACCACATGTTCTACCACATCCTTGGAAGTCCTCCTGTAAGACATGAATTCTTACATGCCCTCTTCAGTTTTTAATCCTACGTTATGTATACTTTTTTTTATCAACAACAAATCCGTTTAGTCTGTCTTTAGGGCTTGTAATTTCTGGCGTCCCTTGATAATGAGTTTGGAATTCTGTTACTTCAGACATAGAATTAAAGGGAAATGAAAAAAGAATACCCCACCACCACCCCCCACCCGCACACACATGCACACACACATATTTCAGCAAATAAGTGAAAGGATGTCTGAACTGCTTGCTTAACTAAAGACAGATGTTGATGTCGAGCAGAGGCTGCTTTTCAAAATAATGGTATTTTGAGCTTTCTCCTTGTGCATCTAGTACTTTTTGATATCAGTATAAGCTTAAGAGTCATGACTGATGTGCATGATTTTTGTCCACAACTGTTTTATTTCAGACACTATTTTTGTTGTTTTACTTATGAGAACGAACAGTGTTTCATTAAAATTCTGTTTTTGAGGGAAATTGGCTTTCCCTTTAGAACAAACAAGGACATGTTCTGCCTGTTCTTTACATTTCATAGAACAGCATATTTCAAATCTGTTTAGTTCAATAATTAAAACAGATCTCAAGAATTTAACAAGTGGAGCTGTTTGTTTTATTAGAGGTAAAAACAGGTCAACCAGGTCTGTTCTGCAGATTTGTTTGCAGTTTTGTTAATTTTCTTCAAAAGATGAAAGCGAAAAGAGGTTTACCTGGCACACAAGTATATTTTAAGGTTCCTATTTCATTTGAAAAACTTTTTGCTTTTAGATATCAAAAAATCTCTTTGGAGTCTATGATGCAATATGCAAGTGATTCTCGGTACACTTTTTTGTCCGTGACCATTTTTCAATACAGATTCCATAGCAGTTGTTTGACATGTTGGACATTGTTTGCCCCAAACATTCAAGTGTATGTTAAAGACCTGCTGATTTATTTGCATTTTTACCAATAGCAAGAGTTTTTGTTTTAAACAAAGAGAATAAATTATTTGTTTACAGGCAATTATACATAATCAATAATACATGCTCATGACATTTTCATTCATGTACATTCCTGTAGAAAGTCCTCCTGTCCTCCACTACATCATTAAGTCAGTTTCCTGAGCCAGCAGCTCTAACTTACAGAGCTCTGGTCCACTGGGCTATAGAAAGTACCCCTCATCCTACAGTGAGAATATGGGCAAAACAATCCTCTACCTCAAAAGATCTATCCAATGTTACTCTACTGACTCTAGGCTTCAATATGTAAAATTGAGCTAGCTGCCACCTTACCTCATCCCAACCTCACCCCTAATTAACCTCCACAAGCCCTACCCCTTAGTTTGGTGCTATTTTCTAACATTTTTCTAAGAGTGAGGTTATTCTTTTACATCAGGGTGAGTTAAATATTACATATAGGAAAAGAGAAATCTAACCATGAATTAAAACATAACAAAATACTGTGTGTTTTCATTAGACATAAACCCATGATAGGTCCCTGTTTAGGCTTATTTCTTAGTTATAAGGTGTCAGAAAATAAGGAAAAGGCTTTTTTTTTTTTCATTTTTAGCCTAATCATTTTAATGTCACATGATGTTTTTTTTATATTATTTAAAATAGTTGTTAGAACTCTTCTTTCAATATTATATCTATGTTCTCCTTTTTTGCTGAAATGATTAAGTTTTTATCATGCATATTGTCTCTGCATATTATAAAATTTAAAAAATGCGTTCTTTAGAACTTCTTCTGGTTAATCATCTTCTTCCTCTTTTAATGATTATTATTTTCCAATAAGCTGTTTAGTTAATTAACGATCTACACATAAACATAGGAAAATTTGAAATATCAAAAATTCTAATCATGTATGTATAATAATGTGATATGAATATTTTTGTTCTTTTTTTTTAGAAAAGCAAACCTGGTACTTCGTAGGGTGGAGACGATCAGCGTCTTCTGCAGATCCCTTCTTCGCAGTACTCACATTCAGAGTCGCACTGACACACTGGCATATATCTACTGCCGGAGTGAAGAGGGGGGACCTCCAAACAACGTATGGCATGGTTCCTTACATGACAGGCGTGCGTTGTGCATGGAAAAGCTTCTTTCTTTACAGCGTAACACTTACAGTAACACCAAACTCCGGTGAGAAAGAAATGAAGAGATGAGCACACATCTTTTTTCTGCATAAGGACGTCGTTGATTGTTTGACCTCATGGGTATGCTTTGCAGCAACTGTCTCTCACATGACTGGTGCATTTAAATACATCAGGAGAGTCCTAAAAAAACTCAGAATTCACTGGTGGTCTCGTTAAACCTACCAAAAACTTATTTTTGTCTGGCGTACTTTTATAAGAAGTCAGAAATTAAGGAAAAGGCAATGGAGGGGACATGCTTTTTAGCTAAAGAATGCCAGTGAATCTGCAGAACAATGGAAAACTGCTGGATACACATGTAAAATTGAAAGTAATTTAAAAGCATAAAAAAAAGGTTGGCGTAAACCCTTGAATGTAAGAGCATAGTTCATTTTTGGTGCTTACCTTGGACACTGAAAAACAAAATATATAATGATTCTGTAACTTATTTGCCTTTGTTACTTTCATTAAAAAGGAAAAGCTGACTTGTATGAAAGCCATGTAAAATATTTATTTTTTTTATTTCACATTAAGAATCATGATGATTTGCAGGAGGAATTCACAATCGTGTGAGTATGCAGATATTTATTATTAAACTTTAATAGATTATTTTAGGCTTGCAGTTGAACATTTTGAAGCAGGAGAAAATTATGCATAGAAAGGTTATTGGTATAAAAACAAAGACATTCTGAGATTGTTATATTAGATTATATTATAGGAACAACATTGTCATTTTTTTATTTCAAACCACATGTTTTTAGATAGTGACTGTGTCAGAGGATCTTCATCAAGATTTTTGTTATGATAATGATCACAAATCTCCATATACAGTTTCCATCAGATGCAGGTAATTATTACTCAACATTAATACAATAAAGCTACTGAAGTCTTATGTATGTAACTGAAGCTTCAGTAGTTTGAAGTGCTTGAACTGATTAACTACCCTCCTCTTGGTAGCCACCGCTTCTGCCATGCTGTGCCTATAAGAGGATAACCTGAGGTGTGTGTAGAAATACCTAATGCTTTGCAACAAATATATATATATATATATATATATATATATATATATATATATATATATTTGTTGCATCATATCCTAAAATTATGTGGACATGAAGCCAGTTAGGCAGTGACGAGGAACAACCCTACAAACTCTAAATATCTGTAGCCACATTAAGTAACTACCCTGAGGATTATGGGAAGATTTTATAATTTGGGTGGTGCTATGTCAGCTGTTTGGCATCTAGATGGAAGGAGATACCATGGCTTGAGTAGCTGCAGAAGGTGACCAAAAACCGTATCCTCTAAAATGGTATTTCTACAGTCATCCTGATTCACACATTCAGTATTATTTTAGTGTTAATTTTTGGCTCTATGTTGTCTCTTGTGATTCTGTTATTGTCTTTAGGGTTTCCTCTTTGAATGTTGCTTTATCTACCAAGATTTAAAGAAGGTTTGATGGATGATGGCTACGTACAGTAGCTCTTTCAACACCACCTCATGAAAACAAAGTCTGTTTTATTTAATATTTTTTTCAAAAGACAGACATACCAGCAAAGGCTTAAAATCAGTTTTCCTCTTCCCTAATTGATACCCCTACTTCATTGTCTCTCTGTTCTGTCCCACTATGATTTGGTTCCTAAAAGAAAAAGGACCAAAACTGCAAGAAACTAGCTATGGAATCAAATGATCTGCAACAATAAATAACCATAATTCTATCATTCCATCACAGCATTTTACAGCAGCTAACAAACTTTATAGATTACTGCTTTTTTGGTAAAGATGAAGTAAAACAGTTACCCTTTAATAAACACTGACAGTTTAACACATTTCAATGATACTGCAATCATTGTTCCAGATTACCATGCTAGATTTTCTTATACACCACTTGGAATCACACCGAGAATTTTACTCATATCTTTGCTTTTTTTTTTAAAGAAATATACATAAATGTTTGTTAAATTGCATAATATGCTGCAAACACAGTGGTACATCTAAATTAGTATGAATATACTGATTACTTTTTAAACATTGGATGATTCGCCCTAAATAAAAACAAGTAGTATAATAAGTGATATTAATGAAATATCCAGGAAAGCGTAAATGGTCCTGGACCTGGGGGGTTGCAAAGTTTCAGTGATTGTATTGTTGTCATATGTTGCTTTTTCTCTTATTAAGTTACATGACATATCTTGATAGCCATGTATATTCTGTTGATGCAAACAATGCCTTTTACAACATCATTATTTATGTAGGAATTGTAATAATAAACTATTGTATTGTACATTTTCAACTGTAAATAATTCAATATATATGTATCATTATGTGGTTCTGTCTTTTTCTGAGGAATGTGGAGTATTAAAAAGTTAAAGCAAAAGCAGACTTTTGTTCTTTATATAAAAAAATCTAATATTTTCATTTTAAAAGTTGGTCATACTTGAATGGTTGTTGATATTTGATCATCATAAAGGGTCAAATAAACCTTTTTTTGAGCAACCAAATAAAATTCTTAAAAAACCTTTACTTTTCTGTCTTTTTTTTTTCTCTTTTAAGCCTTTCAATTGTTTTTTTTCTGTTTTTAGCAATATAAATGTCAAGTCAATACATTTCAACCAGTGAATGCACATCAGGACACATTTCTAAGAGCCTCCTAAACAATGGAAACAGTAAAACCAAGAGTACATAGATAATGGCCATTACTTTATATATAGGTAATGTTATGGTTGTTCAATGTTGACAAGAAAATTATAGCGCAATGATTTTTCAATTTTTCTTTGAAAATATTTAATGAATCTCCAAACATCTTAAAGCTGATCCTCTAGCTTTGGCCTAGCTCAATAGGATATTAAGGTGATTTTTATCAAATAAGCTTAATAACTAGTACACAAAAGTCTTCATCATCACAGCACTAACATTAAGTCTGCATATGTGTCCAGACTAAGATAACCTGATTAGATGTATTTTTGGTCTGTCTATGGCTACGTTCACACTGCAGGTCTTGATGCTCGATAGTGATTTTTTATTTATTCAAATAAAATATGATTTTTTTTTTTTTGCTAAAGTAGTTCAAACTACTATTTAATTTCAAACATCATCAGACTGCAGTCTATTGGCCAATAAAGTAAGAAGTGGGTTGCATTTGCCTGCACTGCTATTTTAGCGTATATCACTTGCAGCACAATGGACATAAAGAACTTGAACAAAGGTAACAGCTTGTGGATTTCTTAGTTTTCTTGAGCTTCAACTTAAACTTTTTTTTTTTCATTAAGTGCTACTTATAGCTAGGTTTTTACTTCTGTCTATTTGGCAGGTAGAGAAAGAAGAGAAGCGTCTTTGCGAAAGCGCTTCTCTTCTTTCCGCTTGTTTGCATTTTTTATTCTTAACTTTTAATCTATAAGCCTACACTGCAAGAAAAGTTGGACTGGAACTTTTTGAGATGAAATCACTTTTTTGAGGGACACTTTGAAAAAACAAGCACCAGAAACATTACATTCAAAAACATATACATACAGTTAAATCAATTTAGAGTTCAACCTTTCAGTCAAGCCCCTACTTAGAATAGTTTTAAAAGCACTCAGGTGAATATGATCATGAAGCTTTATTGAATTCTGAATATTATTCAATGCCAGAGGGGCAATGAATAAAACGAGCAAAGACTCTTGGCCAGATTGAATTCCATTCAGTTCATTTATTTAGTACAAATTCCCAAGACATGTCATCTCAAGGCACTTTACTGAGACAATTTGAACAGATCGTACAGTCAGAGTCGTTTTGGTGTGGCCTTGCCAGTCTCGAGACTTAAACCCAATAGAAAATCTCTGGAGGGAGCTTAAGTCCATATTTCTCAGAGACAGCCGAGAAACTTTGCTGATCTACAGAACTGCATGGAGGAATGGGCCAAAATCCATGCTGCAGTGTGTGAGAAACTGGTGAAAACTACAGGAAAGGTTGACCTCTAGAATTGCAAACAAGAGCTACTGTACTGAATATTAACACTGATTTCACAGGTGTTCAAATACTTATTTGCAGCAGGAACATGGAAGTAAATTATTAAAAAAGTCATGCATTATACTCATATACATATAACCTTTGAGAACTTTCAGTGATCTGAATTTATTTTATACAGGCCCTTTTCTTAGCAGCGGTTAGTTTGACTTTCCAATGGGAATTTTCTACCTGAGCTAAATCTGTTCAGTATTCACTTTTGTTAGAATACTGCCTAACCATACATTAGCCATTACCTTCACTACCTTTGTTCAAAAGGTCTTTACCATACAGTGATCTCAAACACTGCAAACAATTGAAATCTAAGTAAGTCAATTTTTCTTAATATAAGTGCATTTTTCTTGAATTGAGCAGGTATGTGAGACACTTTGCCAATGGAATGAGACAAATTCTGTTAAAATGAGGAAGGGGGAGTGTTGACCTAGTTGGTTAGAGCGGTGTGCTTATGCTCTGAGAAGGTTGCAAGTACCTGGTTTGAATCTCAATGCCTCCGCAAGACCCTTATCCACCAATCACTCCCCGGGCGCCACACAATGGCAGCCCACTGATCCCCAAGGGGATAAAGTAAATGCAGAAGTAAATTTCTCCAATGTGAGATCAATTAAGTTTTATTATTATAAAAATAAGAGAAAAAAAACAACAACCCTAGTCTCTCATTTGAAGTTCATAATATAGGGATAACAATACATTGGCAGATCATCTTCTTTATCTACCCATATTAAGAATAAATATACTTATTCTAAGAAAATTTTACTCAGTTTTAGATTGTTTTTTTTCTGCCCATTTTGATCAGCTTATGTAAGTTATGCAAACACCCAGCCTCCAGAAGAATTGTGATCTGGTCTTTAGGTATAGAGAATATAAGTTATGAAATATCAACCAAAAACATGCTGGAATACAAGTAATAAGGAAAATATGGCACAGATGAGAATTACTTTTAGCCAACGTAAAATTAGATCTAAAGTTGATTTCCTGTTTTAGCTAATTTGCTACATAATCTTGGGGCACAAAATATTTACATTTAGATGGAGAGGAGGGAAATCAGTCACTAAACTAACATCCATCCATCCCATACAAATAACTATAATTTATATAATTAACTGAAGGTGGCTTTGCCTCTGCATGTGAGCTGCTGGGAAGCATTTACTTTTTCCACCTCGCTCAACAAACTATTCTTTCAACCTCAGATCCAGTTTCTTTTTCAGTCATGCAACATTAACTGCACTTTAAAAATCAGTAGCTTGATATGCATTCTCACAAATTAGGTCATTATGGTCAATGATGTGCTAGAACCAGCCCTCACATTTTCATGCCACTCTATCAATGTGGCGTTAGTTTTCTTTGTTTTTGTTTGTTTGCTACATCAGGAATTATTAAATGTGACTAACAGTGAAAGACTAATTTTAACTACTTGATAACAATTATAATAAATATTATCATTATAATAACACTTGTTATTCTTGGAAACACCAAGTAACCGAAGTGGGCAGAATAACCCACAATGTTAAAGCTTGTTAACTTGGTGATTTTAAAGGTTTCCAAAGAAAAATCTTTTGTATTAAAGTAGCAATCATTCTCTTGAGTAAAAGTTAAAAGCTGTCATCAAGAAAATATTATAGTGGATGCGGAAAAATGTTTGGTCATATATTGTAAAATCTTGGTAATTTATACAATATAATTGAGCTTTAGCTGGTTGGCGTTATCCCATTTTCATCATTAGGACTGCTTGGCTTTCAGTTAGCCATTTGGAGAAGGTCCCATTCATTTGTTACACTAGCCAGTTATGGAGAGAAATCAGTTTCTTCATCCTGTAGATGTAGAATATATCCAGGTCTGGTGCTGTCAAGTTCCTCTTACTTGAGAGTCTTTGTTGGATGTCTGCCATAGTGATATTTACTGGGCTTTGTTCAGGGAGATTAGTGTGGTCTCCTGTTATATATATATTACCACTGTGCTTTATTGTTACAGTATGTGATGCTTCAATCTCCAACCCTGATTACCTGGTGAAGTGGTACTGTAAAAAGCTTTTGTTCTTTTTGTAATGTTGTATGAAATGTTGGGTAAGACTTCTGCACCTCCACCAATGTACTTTAATTTGTCTGTAATAGTTTTATTTTTAGATTTCTTTTTTTAAATAACAATTCAAAATCAATATATATATATATAAATTATAATTTAGTAAATTTGTATTTATCATTACTGTTTTCAGTTTTCTGTTATTTGAATTACTAGTGTGAATTTATCGTTTTCTTTATTGGGAGGGTATGTAAACTTTCAAGCAAACTTTTGATTTAGAATCAAATACATGTCAGAGTATTTACTGAGCATTTCAAATAAGCTATGATTAATTTGTGATTACTTAATATCTTGAATTTTAAATTTAATGCACAGTTCCTTTTTCAAAACTTCTAGTTAATTAATTTTGTAAAATATTTAGTTTTTAGACACATAATTAACACATCTAGTACCTCATCTTTTTTCCCTTTTGCTTGCTAAAAATATAAAAAGTGGTGTATTAATAGTGGCATCTATTTCTTTTAATGGCAATCTAATGAAAAGAAGGGAAATGTCAATTACTTTTAACCCTACACCTTAACAAAGTCTGCAAGATAAAAAGTTGGCAAAACACTTCTCCATAATAGATTTTCAAAATCTCTGTTAGTTGGCTTACACCACTGGCCTAACACCCTTTAATTTCAAAGATGCACAACTTGGCGTTTAAAAATATGTTAAGCAGTGTCTGAAATTTTCTGAGAAAGCTTCAGTTTTATTGCTGCTACAACTGTCTTTTTTCATTTAGAATATGTATTTTAAAAAGAACTGCTTAAAAATTGCTCTTTGCATTTTTTTACAATTTGCACCCTAATTGTAAAAATATTACCACAATACACAATACTCCCATATAAATCATAGCCTCGAGGCCTTAGGGTGACCTTCAAGGCAGACACAACATTTGCTTGAGCCAAGGCCAACCCCTCCAGCAGAAAAATAAACTTGGCCTGAAACCCTAGTTGGTTCTCAGAAGGTAAGCTGCTGTTTGATCCCATGGCATACTCTCTATCTGTTCTATAATCGTGTGTTGGTTCTGGTTAGAACATGATAAAGCAAAAGAGCTGCTTTTTCCTCTTCCTTACCAAGGTTTTTATTGAAAGTTAGAACAGATATTCAAAACTTCATATGGGGTCAGTAATCTCTGTGCTCAGTGACACATTGACATAACTGTTGAAGGAGTCCTAACCTGGAAATTTCATGTTAAAATGTGTTTGTTGTTGTTCGGCTTCAGTTAAAACCTGCCAGAAGATCTGAAGTGTAAAAGCGGCTTTGCCATTACACCCATTTCTTTTCCACCAATTGGAGACTCACTTTAGATTAGCTGGCAAGTGTTGCTGCCTCTGGACCTTTTTTTTCATATTATGTAAGAGACTAGTAAACAATTGTTAAAGAACCATTGCAAACTGCTAACTTTGCTCATGCCACAACCACATGAACACTCATGCACAAAAGTCAAATTCTGTGCCTTCCGTTGGTATTAAAAAGGGTACTAAAAGAGGTCACAAAGAGCTACATTTAATTATTTTTTCTCAGTAACTGAACATGTAAAAGCACCTAAACAAAATATATGCCATAAAAACTGCTGACCGCAAATTAAAGAGAATTGATCCTTAAGGGGCGTAGAGACTTAAAAACTTTACTACCTTTACTGTGGCTGTGTCTGAACATCCGCCCTAACCCCTTAATCCCTCAATCACTACATAGGTGGGGACTACAGTATATAGTGGACTTCATAGTGAACTCAGTTAACTTACCTTTTAGACACTTTTCGCTCCCCATTGGGCACATAACTCCACCTCTCTGCACGGTGTCTGTGCCACTTTTGTTATTTGTTGCCGTTGTCGGGTAGTGACAGCACTCCACTGTGACTACAAATCCCATGATGTTTTGCAAGCAGAGCTTTCCTCACAAAGCATTTCATAATATATCTGTTCGTCTAGTGACCATGGATGATCACTACTTTTCAAGGTGCATTATAGGATATTTCAAGTCCACTACTTTTTCATCCACTAGATGTTCGGACACTCATCTAAAATGGCTTAATCACTATTTTGTAATTAGGGTGGACATTCAGACACCACCTGAGTTTTTAAATCAGTTGCATAAACATAGGGATATACAATAGGACTTAATGATTTACAAAAAAAGGGGTGAAGAACATCAGTTATGTAAAAGAAATACAAGCTTGATTGAAAGAATGGGTTTAAACAAAACTCCTAGGATCCAATGATGACTTCTGATTATTTTTTATTGACAACAAATAAATAGTATATGACTCAACAGATATATTTCATGGTTTATACATCTGACAACAGTGCTTACACTAGGTCATTATGAACAAATAAATGCTGACAGCAAGTGGTGTGCTAAGGCATCACTAGTTTTTTTTGTTAACTTTTTTTTCCTTGCAGTTGATACTTTGATACTACATTTCACGGATTTCTTTATGTTATATTTATGATAAAATCAATCCAAGAGCTAGTCTCAAAAAGTTAGTACATTTTTTTTTGGAATACAATTAGATAATATCAATATTTACATCTTAAAATATGTTTGTTGAGCAGTTGGGTATGGAGCATTACAGTAATACCACTAGATATTCACGAAATATGCAAATACATTTTTTTGTATTTTTTTTTTCCATGTGAAAAACAAAAAACTATACTTCAACTTTTATTAAATTTCTCGCAGGAGGATAAGAACAAAGACATTAAAGGGCTAAGCTATAACCAAAGGCTTGTGAGAGGTACTCCATGTGTTACAGCACACAAAGAAAACACCATGACCCTTCAAAGATTAGATCAGAAACATTACAGCTTGACATGCCGCAGTTTTTCTCCTTTTTTTTTTTTTTTTTGATGAATTGGACACAAACATCTGAAATATGTAGACAAGAAAAATAAAAGATCTTTCATTTCAACTACAGGAGCAAATCTTGGAGGTGAACATGGAGGTGTCAAAGCCTGTCAGGCAAGAAAACCGATTTAGTTTTCTATGGTGTGATAAGCATAGACTGCAGGTGAAAAGAAATGTGTTCCCTCATCTTAACTTCAAATGGCTTTGTGAGCTAGGCAAACATCCCCTCTCATTTTCACAGGGCCAGCTCGACCCTGGCTGCCCCACAAAGGCATACCTGACGATGACAGATGAGGCTGTGTGTCAAGTTAGAGGGGAGATGGAGGTAAGTGAAGGTGGGAGTCCTACAGTGGAATGGCTGCCATCCGCAGCAGAAACTCTGACTCACTGGCCTTTCAGTCTTACCAGTCAGGCCCCCTGCTCTTTGCCCGTGGACAACCTACACACTTACACACCTGGACAAACAGCCCAACAGGCCAGGAGAAGCAGACCAACCTTAAATACCTTTCCTTCTCTCTCCTTCACTGGAAACCTACTCTCTACCTTTACCCCATCTCCGACAACTCATACTTGGATGTCAACTAACTTCTAGTACATTGTTTTTCCCTTATATGTTAAGCCAGTTTTCTCTTGTCCTCTAATAGTAATATTGTGTTTATAATAAGCAATGATCCATTTTATTGTAAATTTGGATTTCTTATAAGTACTCCTTGTACATATGGCTTTTGTGTGCATTGTTTTTAAAAGAAAGACAAAAATAAACATAATTCTGGCTTTAAATGAAAAAATATATAATTTCCAAGGCAATATCAACTCCAAATTATCCCCATTGACCTAAGCTGTTTCATAATGTTGGGCCAAACTAATCAGATCAATGCCTAAAAGCAACAATCACAACATAAACAGAGAGACAAAATGACTCACAACATATACTGTGCTGATTAATAAAGGAATGTAAAAAATAATTTAACTGGAACTTAAATATAACTTAAAAAGTATAACACTCTCAATAAATAGTTGCACTATTTACACCATTCTTATGAGACTCAAAATTTCACTAAAATACCAAAACTATAGAAGCAGCAAACTTTACAGGCATGAGGTACAGCAAAGCGATCATGTGATGTCTACAGTAGAGAGGAGATGTCCTCATTTGATGCACAAATGTATTCTCCCCCGCTCATGACTGTTTTTGTAAGCTGGCTTATTGGTAACTTCTCCAATTTTAGGAATTTTCTTTATATTTTCAAGTTAATTAATATTCTTATGAATTCTTTTGTGTCAGTTGCAATTGGCTGTTTTGGTATCTATATAGTGACAACATAAAATTATATTACATCATTAAGATATAATTATGCAGAAGAGACAAATGATAATGTCAATACAAGTGTATAACTATTTACATTGTTTGAGAGTGATTCATTTAAACTATTTGGATTACTTTTCTATGACCTCTAGCAGATGAACCATGGCACTGCATGTGGTGCGACTCTACGTGAGTCACTAACCACTAGTATGAAATGATGTGTGAGGCAGCAGAATCTAAAATACAAACATTACATCTTGAATACATAAAGTTACCAGGAATATATAGTTTTCATATAAAGTTTATAAATGTAATCACCGAAGATCCTGTAGCCTTAAATGTCCTCACAAATACTCATGTTTTGCAAAAGTTACAATCTTTCAACAATCCTTTTTGTTGGGGGAATTTATTGTGTTTTTTTTTTTTGTTTTTTTTCTGCTTCTTTCTAATTTTCCTTTTGGACCTTAGGCGCAATGCAAACACCAAGGGAACACACATGTTGTAGCCTTTGCAGTCTAGTTTGACTTAAATAACTCATCCCTTGAGGAGAGCGTTGCTGTATATCTAGGTGCTTTTCATAGACTAAATGGATATATGCTTCAATGCTTCAAAATACCCCATTTGGTTTCCAGAGTAGCATAGCAATATGTCATCTGCATAAAATAGCATACAAGCCACGTGAAAACAAAACTAATAGAAAAACAAACTGCATTGTAAGGGGTCAAATTGCTAAATACTATGCAGTTTGCCTTAGACAGCCATTCATTTAATAGCAGCTTCTAAAAGATTTTTTGAAAGATATGCATTTTTCACTACTGAGTAGAAAGTGCAATAATTGAGGTCATCTAAAAAGAATGCTGATTAAATATGGCATATTCCAAAAAATATTCATGTTGTGGAAAATATCTTTGCTCTTTTCATGTTCTTGTATTCTTTTAGGTCTCCACAATTAACGGCTGTGAAATAACACGAAGGATGATGTTCACAGGAAGAATTTTAAATACCATATATGAGTCAGAGAGAGACCATGGATGAAGTGAAATGATAGTTATTATATATGCTAAATATCTCTTTGATTGTGGTTGACATGAAAAAATAGAAGTAAAGTATTAGACCGAGATGCAGAGCGAACTACTACATCGATTGTTGCATGAAAACTCAGTTTGTATGTGTCAGGAAAATTGAGTAACAAAATAGAAATCTATTATAGCAGCTATATTGTTTAACAAAGTTACTTTATGCGAACAGACACATACAGAAAAACGCTGTATAGAAGTGCACTTTGTACTGAAGATGTAGTGGAATTAGTAAATGACCTAAAACAAACCCAGCACTTTGTCTTACAGAGCGTTTAGCATACTGTGGCCGGAAATTATGTGCTGACATAAACATCCAAATGTCATTTTTACATTTACTAACTACCCAGCGACAGAAGAAAGTCTGTGAAATTAAAGCCTGCAGGTCGGTTGGGTAGGATGTTAAGATTTGGGCTGGGCAGACAGTCTATCCAACCTTTTATCCCTGTATTTCTGTGTGAATGTGGTGTGCAGCACTAAGATCAGGGAAGCTACAAGCATTAAACAAGCATTTTCTACATTCTGAAAAGGACCGGAGTGGATTTACTTTCTGCTTTTTTCAGTTTAACGTGGTTCTTGAGGTAACAAAGGTTTAAACTAGTTCCATAAGGGAGGAGTTTTGACTGAAAATAATTCACCCCAAACCCTAAGTGAGGTCATAGACAACATTCTTTAAGTCATAATCAAGGTATATACTGTAGTTATTAGCAGGGGCAGCTGCATAAGATGAGGGGTGCCAAGTGAGGTTCTGGATTTTTTGAAGTTGTTAGTACATTTCATATGTGATGCTGTCATCATGTTTTCTTTTGTAATACAAGATGACAGAGTTGTGTAACCACATGTTAGAATGATTGAATACTATTAGGGAGGACTATTAGCATCAAAGAAGACAAAACTGCCTAAGTCTAATATTTATCATGGATTAGAATGAAAAGCCACGTTAACATTTCAAATGCAGATTTCTTTTGTGTAACATTTTCCAAGACTGTGGTTTCTATAATTGACTATTTAGAATTTTTGCATATTGCAATTAGCCTTTTATATGTTTAATTTGTGACTTAAAACAATATGACTGTCGTATGATTCCAAGATCCAACCCATATTTACGGTGTTTGAGAATTCATTCAAATCACTGGTCAGTATATTATCATATCAGCACTACCCCGAGCCAGCATCAACGCAATCTCACACTTGTTTTGATATACCTTTGGTTCAATCATGTGATTGTAATGAGGTAACTAAAATCATTATTAAAGCCAGCACAAAAGTCACCAAAAGGCATGCTACCTAGACTTGGTTACACTTTTTTTTTTTATTTTGGCTGAGATATTGAAAAGGTCTCTTTTCTGTATTTTAATACTATATATATATATTTACGGCTTGTATTGCACAGTTTACTTTTTGTATTGCAGCAAAAAAAAAAAAAAAAAAAAAATTCAATGGAGTCTCATTCTTGTTCGTTATCTTCCTTTCATAAGGAGATGGAAGCCGGTTGGGATTGCAGTACAGATGAAGAGGTATGCTTTTATTAGCAGCATGTACAGGAAACTGTGAGCCAAGATGAGGATGAAGAGGGTTGGTTTGGCAATTCTGGTTGTGTTGAGTTAGAGAAAGGGTCCCGGAGCAGCGAGTGATGATCCCTGCTCAAGCTGGTCACCCAACAGTACGGACATGATTTCGATTAAGGTTCTCTGAAGCATTAGGATCACGACAGGAGCACTCATTCCCTATGTCGCAGGAGATTGGGAATGGTATTACCTAAGTAGAAGAAAAACAAAATTACATTTAGTTGTCAACCTTAACCCAAAAGCAACATTTTCAAAACACATATTTGCATATTATGTTGAATTCTAAAAAACTAGGGTTTTCACAGCACTAGTGGCTGACAGCAGTAGGCTGACAAGAAAGGGGGTATGAGAGAAGGGGAGAGCCATGCGGCAAGGGACCACAGACTGGATTTGAACCCAGGTTGGCCGCGTCAAGGACTAAGGCCGCTAAACATGGGTCGTACGCACGACCAGGGAGGCTCATCAGAACCGGTAAGAACAAAAATGGAGCCTTAAACAATTGGCAATCGAGCAAAAGGCATGAGCCCGGACTGGATTTTAACCTTCCACTAGGACAGTGTCCCTACACATAGACTCAGAGCAAATACACACAAGCAAATTTAAAGATTTTTTTGTAAAAAAATATATTTAAAAAAATCTTGTATTATCCTTGCAATTATGCACCACTCTTGTGTTGGTCTATCTTATTGCTACTTCTGCAATGCACCTTTAAAGTGTAGGACCCAACCAAGAACTAAAATCAAAAAAGAGATCAAAAGTATGCACCTGACTTGCAATAGTATAACACCTGTTAGGCAGAAGAAGTTTATCTGAACGTAGTAGGTGAGTGTTCAGTATGTCATGCAATGTGAAAAGTAGATTCCCCTAAACAACTAACAAACAACTCCATAGTAAATTAAAAGCAGGAGAGTTTGCGGTTCTGTTGCTCAAAGAGGATCTGTTATGTCATAACACTGGGGCATCAAAGCATTTTATCTTCAATTTTCTGATAGTTTTGTACATAAGGTCCTTGCAATAAAAGTAGTGCAATCAATGGTTGTTGCCCCTGGCTTTGACGTAGTTGGATAACGTTGGCAGTGCGTCATCGGCACCAGCTGCTGCTGCCTTGTCTACTCGTTCACCTCTCAAGGGGTTGGCTTAAGCTGTTTGGGTACACAAAATGTGTCCCCCGTCTCCAGGCCAAACAGGAAGCACGTGCTCTCCGAGTCATGTCAGGCAGGCGGGCAGCATACCAAGGACATGTTTGTATTTGTATCGTAGTGGCTTATACTGAAAGGAGCTGAGAATCTGCAGTCAGACTTGCTTGATCTCATTGGGCAGAAATAGTATTTCTCTGTTTTTCTTTTTTGGAGAAATGGTCGCATCAGACATTGTAAGTCAAATAAAAATACAAGCCAGTGAAGGCAGACATTAGATGATACCATACCTTTAGCTCAAAACAGCTTTTACTTTAGTGCAATAAATAAAAACTTTCTATATTGACTGACTTTTTCAAAGTTACATTTCTATGAATACTGTATGATGTAGCTAATACAGAACTACTTAGATTATGCTGATAAGCTTTGTCTCAAAATTAAAAAATACACTGCAGGCTAAATATTAGCTTAGAATTGGATTAGATGGGTAACTGCAAAGTATAACAGAAATAAATATGTAAATATGTATATATTTTTGCCAACTAATAAGGAGCTAAAAGCATCCATTAACTATCCCACATATAATATACTCTTGAAGGAGATGAAGCACTGATATTGTTTTAGTGAAGGAAAATATTAGTAAAAAACATACATCTAGCTTTGTACTTTACTATGCCTAGATACCCAGAGGGGCTTTACATCTATTATTTCTCTTACAATTATACATACTTTGATACAGAGGGCCTGTATTAAAACATGTATAAAGCCTGTTTGAGTACCAAAAACATGCAGTCCAATGCTCAACACAAAACTCAGGATGCTAGAAAAATAACTTATTACAGAATTTATTTACAGAATACAGAATTTGCAGCAGCCAACCAAACTTTTTAATCCACAATAACAAGCTATAAAGTACTGAAACATAAAAAATAAAATAAAATGTGACTATTCATTTAAATTAAACTAAAGGATAATAAAGCTTGATGTTTTTTCCATGAGTTTCAGCTTTTATTATTTAAATCTGAATGATGAAACTGAATCACATTTATCCTCATCCAATGCTGTAACACACCTAAAAATGATAGAACTATCCTCAATCAAATGTAAACTGTATATTTTTCTTTTTTTAAGTCATAGAGAAGTGTGTCAGGCTGTACTTCAAGGAGAATAAAATCCAGGTTTATCCTTAAAGAGACAATTTCATTCTAACAACAAAAAAAAAAGGATAGAAAATCAGAGGATCGATTCTAAACCAGTCAGATGTGATGATTAATGAAGTGGACAAGGTGTAGAAAAAAACACATGTCCAAAGGTAGCTGCGTAAAGGCGTTTGGAATTTTGCAAAAATGGCAGCCATGGCACTGCTTGGAGTACATTGACAGTGGGAGGGGGTGGGGTGTTCCGAGATACTGCAAGTAAAAGACCAGCTTGTTAGCGGGTTTTGATGTTCCAAATAATAAAAAATGCTTCATCTATAAATCAACATTTTTTGTTGTCTTTGATTAATATTTACATTTGTTTGATGTTCCGAAACACATCAGTGTGACACATCAACAAAACACTAAAATTTGGAAGGAGCAAATAATTTTCACACTACTGTGACCCTGGATTGACATTGTGCTTTTCCCATAGGGCCAGTGACGAAGGCTCGCCTTGCAAATAGGGTATAAAATAACTTGTTTGTGTGGGAGAGGTGTCTCTAATGGAATAGCCAGGTTGCCTGGGCCCAGACTCCTCGGGGAAACGAGGTCTACATGGGACTACTTTACAAGCTAAAGGCCGGACACACTTCAGAAACAGCTGTCAACTGCATGAACAGCATTTCCTCTGTGTCATTTTGTAGCCAAGAACACAGAGTTCCTCATACCCACCTGACTGAGTTTTATTACAATGTCTCTGTTTTACACTTTTACCTCTTTTCAATTCCCTTCATATGTTTGCTTTGTTTTATTACCGTCCTACCTTCAGAGAGTATCCCCTTTGTATTCCAATTTAGTTTCCCACTTTTCAGTCCAAAGCCATTTCAGCTTATCTTTTCATGCAGGTAATGATGGTGGGTGGCAGATTTGAAATACTTTCCTTTGACCTTGACCTCTAGGGTGATTGGTCCAGGTGCTGCATCTGGACCTGACTTAAGATTCTTTCAGGGTGGCTGGGAAACTGGACTGCCTGGCCTGTGAGTCTGGGGACATTCCTGCTGCCCTGTGTCCCGGTGTTAAAAAGGAGGAGTGGATGAGGACATCCAAGTGGCATGGACTGAGAGAGGACAACATTAAAGGCCCACTGAAAGTAAGTCAAAATGATAGCTTCCAATAGAGTGTAATGCTCAAAGAATTCACCCTCATGTTTGGGACTTATCATAATAGTCAAGCCTTATTTTGCCAAATGAATCCACATAAAGGCAAACGCTAAATCATGCATTGAGAAAGAGTTTATTCTGATGAGAAATACCATGGCAATTTTAATTTTGGGAAGTCTCATGCCTCATTTTACACTATACTAACAAAGGATCACCTACAAACAATGACATAAAAATGTAATTGTCAAACTAAAATAAAAAAAATACACTTTGATAACCATAGTCCTTCATTGCATTCTTACTGCAGGAGCTTTACTCGCATTGTTGATCCACTGTATTTCCAAATCTGTTTTTTTTTTTTTTTAAACTATGAAAACTGGTGGACGTAATGTGTAGAGGGACCTGAAAGGGAGTCTGTTCTAGTTGGTGGTTCAGTAATGTGAACATTTTACATAAAATATGTTCAGCCAGGAAAGAAACTACCATGAAATCCTGAGAAATAAGTCCTAGTCACAGGAGAAGCCCACTGCTGGAACAAAAAAAAAAAAACATATACCATGTATTTGCATGGTATATATGCAAATACAATTCCAAAAGTCTAATCTTTTAAATCTGACAGCATATTAACATATAGTTTAGTAGCTATCTGTGAGCAGCACAGTACAGAAAGAAATATCGATGATGACAAGTAACATACCGGGCGTAGCTGTGCCAAGCAGGTTTAAAGGCCTGGCGGGAATCGTATCCCTTACACAATACCCTAACTTTAATAGTAAAACATACAGTCACATTCATAAAAAAAATGTCTACTGAGGAAAAAAAACTATTTAACTATGGGGGGGGGGTTCCTGCAATGGGAACCCTCAGAGAGGTGAATTCCAGACTCTTGCAACCCCCCACCCCTCAACCCCCCGCCTCTAGAAATCCAGCCAACAGCTTGTAACTATTAAGGGGAGATCCTGCAGTGACCTTACATACAGCCATTTCTTTCACCTTCAAAGGCTCTGAAGTGGAACAATGCACAGTAATTTATCCAGGACTACTAAATACACACATCTCTACCACAGTAAAACAAAAGTAGGGTTTCTTTATTGTTCTGGGAAGCAGAGAATAATAAATGCGTAGAATTCCATTATTTAGAGTCATGCAAAATAAAAAAATAAAAACTTCAACTGAAAGCTGTTTTATCAGTAATAAAATATTTTTTTTACTAGGTCCAAAAATTAAGTAAATACTATTGATCTCACACATTCTATCTTAATATCAAAAATAAGAAGCTATGTTTGAAAAACAAAACTGAGTCCTACTAATCTGATTAATTAAATTTAAGGGCATTTAAAAAAATAATGCTGGAAGAAAATATTGTCCTGACCTTATTTTCCTATGAACTTAACACAGCGGCATACACTTGTTTACTATATTAAGAGCCTTCCACATCATTAACATGATCAAAAATTCTGACCCTGGACCCTTCAACACTTACACATCATGTCTATTTCCAATTAACACATCTGGTAGAAGAAACAAACTAAACTAGGACTTAAACAATGTAACAATTAAAAAAAAAATTTTTAGTAACAATTTCTCTTACTCTTTGCTACTGCAGGAACAAGGAATGTAGAAAGCCAATGAGAGACTTAAACCATCACTGATAATTTCATAAAATTATTATTAAGGCACTTGGAAGAACCAATACAGCCTTTTATTAGCAGTGCTTAGCTTTAAAAAAAAAATAAAGAACATATAGGAGAAGAT